TTTCCAAATTTTTCATAAAATTAAAGTTATGCTTTAAAATCTTTTGATTTAACAAAATATGTTGCTGGTTAACTAAATCCAGAGATCTGCTAATTTAGCTCCCAAATGACTAATAAAACTTGTTTTTCATTACATTGAAATATATAGCTAAGCATAGTACATTCTAGAGATGTGCCAATGCCAATTTTTTTAACCTGATACCGGATACCGATACCTGGCTTTGCAGTATCGGCCGATACCGATACCTTCTGTTTGAAATTGATGTGTGTGTGTATATATGAAGAACTGCATACTACTTGGATATAACATAATTGCCATCATGGCTTTGTCAAGCTGCTGCCTACCTTTGTGAAGCAGGAAAAAGACTAATACAAAGAGAATCCAGTAGAACTTTTTATTACCTACCAGGAAAGGGTGACAATGCTTCAATAAACTTTTGGCTCTAGAAAATGGTATCGGTGCTCTATTTTTTGGTACTCGCTGATACCGATACCACCATTTTAGTGCTGGATTGGAGCCCGGTGCTGGTATCAGTATCGATGCAACACTAGTACATTTAGCATATGATGTATTATCAGTGATGGGACTAACGGCGCTGAAAGTAACGACGTTACTAACGCCGCTACCTTTTTTCAGTAACGAGTAATTAAAATGATTACTCTTACTGTAACTATAACGCAGTTACAATTGCCGACACCCCGTTACTGCACGTTACTCAGGTCGCACAATTAACCTTTTTTCATGATAGGACTCGTGTGCACGTCATGAGAGAGGGGAGGATGGAGAGTGAGGAGGACTCCAGCAGCAAAACAGCGTTTTCCAGATGGAAAATACCGGTGTTACGTCGAGCTGCGTTTCCCCATCAGATACGGTTTCCCCTCCATCTCCACACAGCGCAGGCAGCACGATTCACCGCGCAAGCGACAGGAAACGCACATGCTCACTAAAGGCGTGTAATAGCTGCCCTGTGCTCGCGCCACAGGGGAACTACGGAGAGCGTGAAGGATCATTAGCCTATATGGTGAAAGAGAGAAATATGGATGGATGGATGGATGGATGGATGGATGGTGGATGGATGGATGGTGGATGGATGGATGGATGGATGGATGGATGGATGGTGGATGGATGGATGGATGGATGGATGGATGGTGGATGGAATAGATAGATAGATAGATGTTGCAGTATCTATAACAACCCAAACACAGGATTTCAGAATTAGACATCCCCAGTTATTAATTTCATTCACTCACAAAAGTAATGCAATAGTTACCTTTACTAGTAACTAGTTACGTTTAATGTGGAGTAACTCAGTTACTAACTCAATTAGTTTTTGGGAGAAGTAACTAGTAACTATAACTAATTACTTTTTCAAAGTTACGTGCCCAACACTGTGTATTATCAATTTTATGCCGGGAATAATTAGTCCAGTAGTTCACACGACTCATTCAAGTCGATGAGAATTGAGTTTGCTTTACTTTAAATATTTAGGTTTTAGTCTAGCTTTGGAGCAAGCGGTGTAAACTTAAGGCTGTCTGGAATCACTACAGCAGTTTGTATTCATGGGGTCAAGAGAGTTCTTACTCTTGACCCCATGAAAGGTGAAGTATTCATTTAGGAATAGGAGCTACAGGCTGTAATTTTCTATATCCTAATTGAGGTTGATGGCTGCAGTCGTCCCAGACGTCCAGACCTTAGCTGCATGTCTACCCTATTTTTCTCTCTGCATGTTTTCTGTCTGATTACTCTGAATAATATCCTTTACTGCCACAAACAGGACATAAGACAGCATTTACTTATTTGCTCTTAAAACATAGGATATTGATTATTGTACTTATTGTTATTTTAATTTTTCAAAGTAGATAAAAGCAACAATAAACCAACCTGGGGAAAAAATCATTAGACCAGCCTTTTCTTTTTTTAAGTCCATTAAATTTTTACGGTAATCCACCTTCAGTAAACCAAAAAAAAAAACATTTTTTAATGATTGCAGAATAAAGTCATTTACTGAGTGTTTCCATCTTTCTTGTTACATCTATGTGTATTACATCTATTTTCTTTAAACATTGAAATAAGCTAAATCAGGTGATCAATCAGCCCAGTAAGAGAACAGGTGTAGAGCAGCTCTGCCATCAGAAATCAGAATATGATCGATCCACGTATAAGAAGCCACTTCGGTCTATAAACAATCCTCGCTTCTGCTTCACTCAATATGTCAGCATATAAAATCCAGAAGAAGCATCGCAGAAAACTTTTATTTCTTTATTATTTAGAGTGTATAGATCTACGTTTGGTTTAGTTTCTTTTAACTTTAATTAAAAACATCAATTGATGGATATATATATATAAATATATATATATATATATATATATATATATATATATATATATATATATATATATATATATATATACTAATATAGGGATGGAACCACCACTAATAAATAAAATAATAAAATCTGACATCATAGATGAGCCATTTCTTTTACACAGACTACTTTCATACATTTTGATTAATGGTTTTCTTTTTTCCAATTTAGTTTTATTCTCCATATTTCAAGAAATTTCAAGTAGAGGTGATTAGATATGCGTCCCGGATGTCCTTGAGTGACGTGTTCTCTGTTTGATCCTATCTTCTACCCTCCACATAAAAATCAATAAAGAGTCACATTACATTAACGTGAGTTTCAAAAATGGCTGCAGCCGAAACAAAGATCAGAAAATATCACAAAGATAAGATTCAGGTGCGATTATATTCAAATCTACCAAGAATTTTTCCTCAATTGACCTACCAGAAACATATAAATTGAGTTTGCTGCCAGGTCAAATTAATATATATCCCTGCTAATATATACCAAGTAGTTACGTTTGTGTTCTGTCACACTACAAGGAGAGTATTTCAAAAAGAAAATCTGTTTCCAAGCATTTTAGTGAAACCAAAAGCCTTCTATACCCTTATTTAGCAACCCTTTAGATTTTTTTTAGTAAAAACAATCACTTAAAATTAATATTACACTTTTCTAAAAGGTATAATTTCATAGATTTAAAATAAAAGCAATGTTCTAGAACTGAACAGAAAAAGGACTGTTTAAAGAAAAAAGCCACCTATGTATGTCATGTGTACAGGAATATGACCTTTGACACCTATCATCTTTAGACACCACAACAGTCTTATTTAGTATTCCTTTAATACGGTTCTGACTGTATCCTCACTAATCTAATCTCCAGTTGAGCCATGTGCCAAAGAATCCGATCAGCCACATAAGCTTGTTTATGTTTTTGGATTAATCAATTAGGCTTTAAAATTAGAGATGCACGATATAATCGGCCCCCTATCGGTATCGGCCTTAAAACTGAATATCGGACATCGGCCACCCCACCGATTTTAACCCGATATTTGATCAGCTTCTGAGTTTCTAAAGTCTAAAAAAAAAAAAAAAAAAAAATACTACTTCTTCTTCCTCAAAAATGTCTTTTTTAACAGACTTAAAAACTTCTAAAGACGAGGGAAAAAATATTGATACATTAAAATATCACAATATCTTCATATGCTGATATATTGCCATTTAAAAACACCATATCAATCTCTTTTACTAATGAAATATTGCTATATGTCATCGTTATGCTACGAAATCCCCAGAAAATTCACAAAATATTGCCATATTTTTATATGATGATACAGTATATTGACGCGGTATCGATCTATTTTACTAACAAAATCTCACAAGAATTTGCAAAATATCACGAGAGTTTGTAACAGAACGATGAAATTTCACAAGATTTTGAAAGTAAAATAGATCGATACCGCGTTTTTAAAAATCTATTTGATATCAGCATATGAAAATATATTTGAGTATATTATTTTTCAAAGTGTCAGAAATGGATAACAAAACTGCTATTTTCAATGACTACTTATTTTTGTCCAGCTTTAACATTGGTATCGATATCGGTTATCGGCTAAATGAGTTTTAAAATATCGGCATATCGGATATCGGCCAAAATCCCAATATCGTGCATCCCTATTTAAAACAACTGATAGATTAATCGACCACTCAAACAATTGATAGCTGGAGTGCAACATGTCATAAACTGCTTACTGTCAACATGGGGACTAAATAAAAAAAAAAAAAAAAACGTGTGACAACCAGGATGCTAATGAGGGACGATACTTTTTCTTTGAATTGAAAAATAACTTTGGCAACGATAACGTTCAACAGTCTTTGTTGTTTCTACGTTTTCTTTTCTTTTAATAATAGATACCATCTTATCTTGTATTAAAATCCTTTAGCTGTTCTATTTTAAGAGCATTGTGCACAGGTTGGTGATGACATGGGGCACTGGTGCAGCTCTGTGATAAGAACTGCAGCTCTGCTTTCTCTGCATTTAAGACAAGCGGCAGTTTAGTATTTTTTTTTTAAACTTTTTTACTAATTTTATACAGTCAAATGTGGGACCTTTCTTTAATTTATGGGATGGCGGGACAGAATTCCTGCACCAATCAGGACGTCTCGTCAGGCTATTTCTACTTAATGGCTGACAACAGGAGCCACCCAGCCATCTGCAGCTACGTAACTATAAGAAGGTTTATTTACTAAATGGATGGATGGATGCTCATGGTTTCATCAGGTTTCATCAGTTGTTTACTTTTTTCTACATATAAAGAAAAAAATCCCACTTAATTTTTCTTTATTGGTTGAAAAACGGGTAGTTTTCTGTTTTGTTTCGTGGAAAACCATTTATTTTAGTAACAGCTTGAAAGCACACAAGCTAGGAAAACAATAAGCAGACATAAGACTGGTTTCTCTGTAAATCGGTGGGATAATAACTCTGGCTCGGCAAAGGGATATATCTGGTTCGGAGGAGAAAACTAAAGAGGGTATATGAGTGCCGAGCAGGAAGAACACCAAGAGAGAGGAGCGGATGGAAATAGAAAACACCATAAGACAGCTACGTTTAAAATACATCTGTAGCAAACAGCAGCTGGAGAAGCTGGGGAGACTTACGGAGGCAGGTGTTTTCTGTGAAGAACTCGGTGAACTTGTCGCAGTCGTCTTTCTTGTTGCCACTGTTGGTGCAATCGCAGAAGGGCGAGACGCTGATCTTGGGTGAGCGCAGGTAGTTGGGGGTCATCACGGTGCCTGCAGCAGGTGGAAGAACAATTAATGGAAGAAGTGAAAAATATGTTCATAAATAATAAAAACAAAACCCCACAAAAAACATTTAAAAAGTCCTAAAGACTTTCTTACTTTGTATCTAATAATAAATGAATAGTTAAATCATTCATTGATACATTTTTTTCCTTCCTATGCGAGGGTAGCAAACTGAGAAAGCAGAATTCAGAGAGGCTCATGTGGAGAATAGCCTTTTCTCTCAGTAAGGGAAAGCAAATAGCTTCAGTCAGTGAATTCTAGCTGCCCCAGTGGAGGATTGTTCCATTCAGCTGGCTGCTGTCCAATAAGGACATTTTTATTGTTTTGCAGTGAGCAAAATAAATTGGCCACTGTGTCGGTAGCAGCTATCTACTGTATATGTATGTATGTATGTAACCCTAAGCCCTCAGAGTGAAGAATTTCACCATCATATTGAGGATCAGTAGTTGCAACGTGAGGACATTTTGCTGGTCCTCACAGCTATTTTGCTAATGCTTAGGTTAAGGTCTAAGGTGTTAATTGGGTTAGGGTGAGGTATGCATTGGTAATGGTTAGGTGCAGTTTTAGGGTTAGGGCATAGAAAGGTTTGAAAATGACTGAAAGTCAATGGAAGTAATGGGCGTCAACATATTGTCCTCTCAAAATATAGCAAAACGAGTATGTGTGCGGGTGTGTGTTTGTGTGTGTGAGTGAAGTTTGGTTTGGTCGCTTGTAGGAAAAAAGAAAAAAGCTCAAGCTGAGAGTTTGCTTGGATTAAAGGAAATTTTACTTTGTCAAAGTTTCCACTTAAATCCATGAAGGACAATTAGATGCATAAACAAATTCAGACGAGGTGGACTTTAAACCCAACTGGTGTTGTCTAAATAGTTTTTAAAGTTCTTTGTTTTAATAACTCAATGTTTATTTTAAAACAAGTCTAGCCATTTTGTCAGCAAAGACAAAGATGCATTTGTATTGTTTATCTTGTTTGGACTCACCAATAAGGCCAGAGTAAGCCAGGAGGCAGTCGGCGTAGTTTTCCTTCAGACAGCCTGACAGTGAGCGAGGCTCTGACATGCAGTTCACAAGGAAGTCAGCCAGTCGGGACCTAAAACACACACAAAACATCTTTAGTAGGGTATCTCTGTTCTGCCACTCTGCAGAATCTGTCAGTTCAATCTCTAACGTTCTGCTCTCTCTGCTTTTTCTCATAGTAGCTTCATCTGGTCTGTTCCTGTTTGGCTGTGACTCCATCCTGGAGAGAAATATCAGCTGTGCTGCTGCCATCAACACCTTTGTTTCTAGATGTTGGAGCTTGGCCTGTTTTCCAGTGTAGTCCTGTTTCTCTGACTGTGACTAACTGGATGTGCTCTCTCCGTCCTCTGACATGGGAGCTTGCTCGGTGCTCGTCTGCCTGGCTGTGTGTTTCCTGGACGGGGCCGCCTGTGGAGCTGGTTGACAGTTGCTTTTTGTATCTATGCTTCTTTTTCTATGTCTGCTTCCGTCTCCTTGAACCCCAGTGGGCCTCAGCAGATGGCCGCTCACACTGAGCCTGGTTCTGCTGGAGGTTTCTTCCTGTTCAATGAGAGTTTTTCCTCTCCACTGTCCCTACAAGCATGCTTAGTGTGAGGGATTGCTGAAGAGTCAAAGAGTCGATGCAATCAGCTGGTTTTCCTTAGAAAACTTTGAATCAATCTGACTGGATGATCTGGTGAACTGAAGAGAGCCTTGAGATGACATGATGTGAATTGGCGCTATAGAAATAAACAGAACTGAACTGAACATGACAATCCTACACTTGCTCGGACTCATACAAACTATATTCTATATACTGATCATTTCTAGTAAAGGCATCATAGCTTTTAATTTGGACCTTTTAGATGTTCTTTTTCAGAAAAAGGTTCATTTTCTTGTATAACACTCGCAATAGAGTAATTAAACCAGTACACCATGTTATGAGTCAGGGGTCCTAACTCCCCTGACTCATAACACTTTACTGGCAAACCTCGGATTGTCTTGCCAGTAAATTTTTGATGGAAGGAATGAGAGATGCCAAAAGTCTTGAAGCAAGATTAAATTAGTAAGAACAATCTGTGTCATTGGTGTACTTTATGAAAGACGAATGTGGATATGAGAAAGAGCTTTAAACTTCTTTTTATGCCACTCAACAGGTGTTTTGTAGGCTTAATATAGCTTTTAAAGAAATGATAAATATGGTATCATATTTACATTGTTTTTCCAGCTAAAATGTGACCTTTGCAAACCTTTAGCCATAAACACTAACCATCTTTTATTCTATAGACAGGAAGTCACTAACTGTCCAGAAAACCCGTATTTTGTGAATACTTGTAGACATATTCAGTGGTGAATTTGGCCATTTTGGGGCCCGTCAGTCTTAATGAAGGCTCTGATTTGTTGAGTTGCTGAAGTTTTCCTGCAATATTATGAATCAGATGGAAGCACAAATGAGGCTTTTACTGAAGCACCTTCCCTGGCTTTCAAAGATAAAATATGAAAGGCAGATCCTAAAGCGATTAATACCAAATGTGCTTATTGTTCATGGGGGAGTTATCAATCAACATGCATCCCAGCCTGCTTATGACTGAATGAATGATGTCCACTGTAGGAGGAAAGAGAAGGTAAATCCCTTTTAAAGAAAAGGTAAGGATGCTTGTAATATTTTGACAGAGAAAATAATTCATAGAACTTAATATTGTTTTAACAATAAACACTTTGCTGTAAATGATTGTGTATCAATCAAAAAGGTTTACAACTACTTACTTGTTTATTTTTCTCTTTTAATTAGCTAAATAATGAAGAAACAGAGTTCACAATTACTGAAATAAAACAAAATAGTACAGAAGAATTTTATAAAGCTTTTGCAATATTGAAAAAATATATATTTTAAGACATTTTTTTTTTTTAGTTTTTGTTTTTGCAATTCTCTGGAAGAGATTTGCAAAAACTTCTAAAAAAATGTACTCTAAGGAGATGGTAAGTTATCCCCTCATATCACACTAGATTTCAGCTGTTGCATTGTTGCTGACTAGCATGAGTGAATAAGGAGTGAATTTTAGAAACAGAGCAAAGGGCCTTGCAGAGAACTACAGACATTATAACTCACAACATTAACATGATGCAAGTTGATGCAGCGGCTACAGGGAATCTTAAAGAGATTTTAGACAATCATAGCTTTGCAGGTTTTTACTGCTGTCATTTAGCCACATATCTTAAATAATACATAATAAAATTTGGTTCAACATCAGGGCTGTCAAAGCATTGACAAAGAAACTAATGTTGCATTCACAAAAAATATGCTATGAAAAGTATGTGGTGGACGCGCATCGGGGGGAAGGAGAGGTCCTGCAGAGGGTTTCCACTGTCTTAAAGGGTCTGAGCAGGACCGTGGTCAGACCCTTTAATTCAGTGAAACAGTGGGTGTTGACTGGGAAGGGCCATTTTTAATGGCTGCTACTGTTTATATATTTAAAGGTGTTACACTTCACAAAGTTTACATAAAGCCAGAAATATATTTTTTTCATCCAGAAAAATCTGGATGCTCTGATCCCTCTACTAAAGTATTTTGTTAGTGGACTCTGGCAAAAGTTTATAAATACCAACAGTATATAAACTACAAAACTATCTGGCAAAATATTTTCCATTCCATATTCTGATGCTTTTGAACAACCTAAAAGATGCTTAGATTCAAATGGTAGCAAGAAATCCCAGACATGGTTGGCTATCGCTGGATTCCCTGTGACATGTTGGTATGCGGGGGATCTACAGCTCGGAAAACTAGCAGAATATGTAAAACTTGGATCATAATTCTAATGAACTGACAGCATGGTTGATGTTTGGAGGTAGACCTCGCCCTTTAAAAGCATCTAATAACATTGTTTTTCACATTCATCACAGCTAAAAAAAAAAAGACACTGTTACCATCGCATTGTACTCAAGAGATCTGCAATATGCGTCAAATGTGACTTCGCACAATTTGCTTGACATCAATGAGTCAATAAACTGGTTTTCCTAAAGCCCCTGTCACACCTTGCAGATTTAGCCAGCGTATGCCTGACGTCTCAGAATCTCCTAAAACGCTGAACTTTCTGTGTGTATTTTCAAGTTTGGGCGTATTCATAACGAGTCCGGAGCGAATGTCTGACGACATTCTAACTTATGCATAACGGACGGCAGCATCACGCACAACAAATGTCACAAGCCAGTGTCCTAAGGGGGCAATGTGCCTGGACACGCCCGCCAGATCTGTTGATATGCGTTGGAGAGAAGTTCTTGATAAGTTATGCAGCAGTTATGAACAATTTACTCAGAGATTTAGGATAAGCTAGACGGCACGACTTTTGAGTAACTTAAACATTACATATGTCAACCATCATATAACCTGGAACTTATGGCCCACGTATGGCATACGCTGGCATACGCCTCAACGTGCTTGCTATATGTTGACGTGTGCCACAATGCCAGCGTGCTCATAACTTATACAAATCTTACCCATAACGTACCCATTATGCCAGTGTTTTTGCCAATTGTCAAGATGAGACAGGGGCTTTAGATAGAAAACTTGACTGTATGATCTGGTTGAATTGTCTCTGTAAAGTGTCTTAAGATGACATATGTTGTCTGAATTGGTGTTATTTAAATAAACTGAATTGAATGGAATTTATTTACCCTTGAAATACATTTTGGGTGAACATTATTAATATTCTTCCTGATATCAATTTTCAAGGACAACTTAATCTAATGTAAAGGATAATGTTCAAAGATATTATTCAAGACAAATTGGCACCACATTAGGCAGTACTTGTTCTTTAATGCACAGTATTTGGGTATTATGGCTTCATAAGTTTGATGTGAACACATACAGTGGCAGTGTTTTACAGTAGCCAAGTGAAAGCGAAGCATTCAAGCATTGATTAAGAAAAATGTTGTCATTTGAACTCTAAAGAGGTCTTCCATTGGTTTCATGCAGACTCAATCAATGAGGGGAACTACGAAGGCGCTCCCTGTTTACCTGCTGAAAGTATAGAGATCACAGATATTGCTGTCAGTCACAAAGCTAAACTTAACTGGGAATTTGTAGGAAATTAGGTCATCACAAGCTGTACTGTTTATGTGGATGTTTGCGCCATAGAAGCTTTGACTCATCATGGTAGGGGGGTGGATAGTGTTGGAGGTGGATGGGCAGCAGAACATCCACCTCAAACTGCATGCATAGAGGAACTGTGACTGAGCGAACATGTAAAGATGCGTTAAGAAAGAAAATATTATTGTACAAAACTTTGCACAACACTGCACATAAATCAACATTTTCTTTTTTTTCTTTTATTAAGCCTGGAGGGCTGTCAAATGTAAGTATGCAATAGATCATCCCCATAAACACCTTCTTACTCTGCATGCACTCCCAGCATGATCTATCTAATCCCAGCAATCTGGAGCAGAGTAGTGCCTAGTGAGCGGAACAGCAGCCAGTATACCAGACCTGACATATGCTGCAGGAGCCTGTGGAAATGCATGGCTTTAATCTATCTGTGCTAACTGACAAATGGACTGGGAGGACGCTGCATTGCAGTGAGACCTGTTGTTCAGCCCTCAGCATATGTCTGATAGATCAAAAGCACCGTGGAGGGAGAAAAAGAGCCAAAGATTGAGGGAAGAGTGAAAAATCTGTTGTATGAATTTATTGCTGTCATGCCGCCTGGTGTTAAGAAGAGACAGAGGCAAGAAGGGGAGGGAAAAAAAATCTGAACGGAGATCATTTATAATGTCTAATGCTTCCCTTTAAACTCGGCTGAATGTGGGCCTTGCAGAGCATGGGTCAAAACGCACACAGTCTAGTAAAGGTAATGTCAAGATGCCTGTATCTGAATCACTTCACAAAGTGAGAACGAAATCTGCACCGCTCAAATAAATGCGTCATTCTGGGAATGAAGGTAAAGCTGACAGGTTATGTCTTGTGCCTAAAGACGGGGTGTAATTGTGAAAAGGCTTGACACGGGCACGCTGTTGAATATAATGGTACAGGGAAGCAGAAGAACATGCACACACTTATCCTAACTGGGCTTGGTTTTTAATGCTGTGCCATGAACAATA